TATGTAAGTCACGTCATTATGTTGTATACCTTAAACGTGTATAGTGCTGTATGTCAATTATGTGTCCCTAAAACGGAAAGAAAAAGAAACAGAAAAAAAATGCCTTTCCCTCTTCTGTTGAGCTAAGACTGAGACCCCCCCCCTAGATATGCTCAAAGAAAAACGATCTTTTCGAGTTGGGGCAGCCCTATACTGACATGTTAGGGTCTCAGGGCAAAGGAAGGGACCACGAGGATTTTTTTCCCCCCATAAGGATGTTTATTACACATAGACATTAAATAACCTGAATTTGTCTTGGTTCTCAAGGTAACTGGATTCTCCTGTCCACTTGGACCTGGATTTGGGTGAGGACACCTTCAAGGATGTGCTCACTGATTAGAGTCACATGAGGGCAGGTGGACCCCAAGATGGAATGCCACCTCCTTCAATTTTGAGTGCCGGGCACTGAGCTTGCCTTCCTCTCTCTGCCTTCCTGTCTCACCTGGGCTCACCTGGACTGGTGCCACAGACTCCTGACTTCTCATCTTCTCTTACCTGCCACCGTGGCAGAGCAGGGGAGGAACTCTGGTATATGTAGGTCGGAACTCACCCTTCCTCCCCCCACTGTTTTTACAGTGGCTTCTTTGCTGCTCTTCACATGTGCCAGCCCTTTGCCTCGCTGGATTCCTTGCCTGGCATTCCTTTCCCACACAACTTCCCCTAGCTGCATTGCTTCCTCCTGCAGAACCTTCTGGAAGGATTTTCTGGAAGGACCTTCTCCATGAGGCTGTCCCTGAAGTCTTTCACTTTGCATCTCATGAACTGCTTCCTGCCTTAATTTTCTCCCCAGCCCTGACGTTTTGCTCATCATCTTTCTTCCCACCCCCTCCCAGAAAGTAAGCGGCACGAGGGCAGGGTTTTTGTGCCCTGCTCACTGCTGTACACACCGCCGGAGACTGGTCACTCTGTCCGCATTTGCTGGGTGGATGACAAGGCACAGGGTGGTGGGGGCATCCGTTCAGACTACATGTGGGGGAGCTGGTACCCAGGCCCCTCGTGGTGGTCCCCCTGGGACTCTGGGTCCTGGAGGGCACATGACCACCCTCTGATTGGCAGGTAAAATAACAGTGATCCGCCGCCAGAGATCACACTCCCCCTGTGCCTCTGTCTTTTTTGGCCTCAGCTCATCAGAAGCTTTGTCTCTGGAAAACCAACAGAGCCCTTTGCCAGAAAGGTCTGTCCAACCTTCTTGTTATTTCAGCTGTTTCCAAGGCCCTCCAGCGGGCTGCTTGGCCGCAGGAAGGCCCTCGGGGAGCCAGGTCAGGTGATGGACTTCCAGGCCTGGGATTCAGACACTGCAAAGCGCATCTTCAGGTTGGCTCATTCCATTCCATTCTCAGCCCTTCTGGCCGACAGCTGCCCATCGGTCATTCCACAGCTTATGAGCACCCTTCCCCAGAAGCGAGCCCAGAATGGAAAGAAAGGCCAAAATTTAGCAGACCTCCAAGCCTTGCTTTACAATGGGGGTCATGAGAAGAGCACAAATCATCGCTAAGCTGATGGGCAACCCAGGTTCACTCTAGGGCTGCCCAAGGAGCATCGATACATGGCCAGTGGCTCATACTCACACTCAGCAGGGATGTATCCCTGTTTGTCCTGCTTGGCTGGAGCAGATGGGCCTTCCTTGTGGGGTTGGTTGAGTTAGGTGGTCAAGTTCCTTCCAGCCCAGTGGAAGGAGGTAGGGATGCTCTACTTGCCAAAGATTCCCCTTTTTCTTCCTTAGCCCACAAACATGCTCCCTGTCCACCCTCTCTTCTGAGAGGAGCAGGGTGATGCATAAAGAAAGTTGGGAGGATAACCTCAGTTGAGGCACTGAGCATAAAGTCTCAGCCTGCGTCTTTTACAGACTTTTCCAGCAGCTTCACTGAGGTGTAATGGACAAATAACACTTGGGTGTGTTTACTGTGTTTAGTGTGATGCTTTGATGTACATCGACAGTATGAAATGGTGTCCACAGTGTCATCAGCACATGCATCACCTCACCCAGTTACACATGTTTTAATTTTTTTTTTGTGGTGAGGACATTTAACATCCACTCTCTCAGCAAATTCAAGCGTGCAACATGGTATCATTAACTGTAGTCCCCATGCCGTACCTTAGATCCCCCCAAATTGCTCATCCTGCATCCCTGAAGGTCTGTGCTCTTTGACCAACATCACCCAACTTATCCCTCCACCCTCACCCCAGCTGCTGGCAACCACCACTCTCCCCTTTGCTTCGATGTGCTTGGTTTTTTCAGATTCCACATATAAGTGAGATCGTGCACTATTGGTCTTTCCGTGCCTGGCTTATTTCACTCAGCATAAGGTCTTCCAGGTTTACCCAGGTTGTTGCAAATGGCAACCACTTTCTTTTCCGCGAGTCTTCTTTTTAAAGGCGAAATACAATTCCATTGTGTAGATATTGTATATGCAGCACGTTTTCTTTTTTTAAAAAAATTTAATTTTATTTAAAATCAATTACTTAACAGTATGTTATTAGTTTCAGAGGTAGAGTTCAGTAATTCATCAGTTGCATAGAACCCAGTGTTCATTCTATCACACGCCCACCTTAATGCCCGTCACCCAGTTACCCCGTCCCCCTACCCCTCTTCCCTCCAGCAACCTGTAGTTTGTTTCCTAGGGTTAAGAGTCTCTCATGGTTTGTCTCCCTCTCTGATTTGTCTTATTTTATTTTATGAACCCATTCATGGACACCTAGATTGCTCCCATACCTTGGCAATTGTGAATAATGCTGCAGTAAACACGAGGGGTGGATATCTCTTCATGATACTGATTTCATTTCTCTGGGTAGATACCCAGAAGTGGAATTGCTGGATCATATGGTCAGTCTATTTTTAATTTGTTGAGGAACCGCCATCCTGTTTTTCATAATATCAGCTTGGATCTTAATCAAAGTCTGCGGCTTCGGGTCCGTTCTTTGAATATGTGGTTTGCCTTTTCACTGTAGTTAAAAAAAATAAATGGGGAAAGATTAAATATCTCCCTGGAGATATGGGCACGAAGGATAATGCAATGGTGTACTGGCTAAATTAGCTTATTTCCATTCAGTGAAAATTTTAAGTATTAATGATTCTCTTTGAAAATCCTCAAAGGAATGTTTTATCATGGAACCGTTAAGAAAAACAATCTGTTTATGTTCCCACCTTCATTTTAGCTTTTTTCTTAAGTGAATTTTTTCCCCCCTGAAGTCCTTCGTGTTGGGTCATTCCAAAATGGATTATTGACGAAGAATGAGGCCGCTCTAGAGTTCCAAGCTAAGTAGCTTTAAGAAGAAAAGCCTCCAATGATTGTTGCTCATGGTCGGAAGCCAGTAGAATGAAGCTGGGAATCAACCAGCAGGTCAACAAGTGTTTGTTGGGCGCCCTCCTTGTGCAAGGGCTCTTTCTTCTTCTAGAAAGGGAGAAGTCTTTGGGGCCTCAAGATCAACAAATACTGGTTGAATCTAATTGAGTTTGAAAGAATAACTCTCCTCTTGGAAAACAGAGGAATTTGCATTTCTGAACAATTGATTCATTGGCCTCCAGATGACCATGACTGTTTACTTGAACTCTCTTTTATTTTGATTAAGTATGTATCTGCCCATCCTTTTGAGTTTATCTGGGTCTTGCAGAATTTACATGCCTCCAACCACCCCCATCCACTTGGGTTGGCAGTTGAGTTGACTGGCTGGCTCTGTCAGTTGTGTGTTCCTTCCTCAAGGGCAGGGATACACAACTTCGAATCATGTCTATCATAATCCCAGCCCTAGTAGCATCTTTATGCATTACAAATCGGTTCTCCTCTAATCCTCTTAATGGCTTGGGCGTCCAACAGGTTTTTCTTTGGTTCAGAATTTCAAGTCTATGCCTCCTTACTGACCCTGTAAATTTAGGGCTTTCAAGTGAAGTAGGGATGATATGGTTTTCTTCTGTGGTTCCCATTTGCAACCTGCTGTTGAAAAGCCTTTACCTTCAATTCCTGTTTTTCAAAATTCAACTGATTTATTGCTTTCGGGCTTGTCCACTGAAGCTGCATCATCTCCAGTAGGTTAAGCATCTCCAGTTAGGTTAGTTTTCTTCTTGGACAAGAATCATGATGTTTTTATTTCTAAGCCTCCTGGTACTCAAAGTGTGATTTAAGGGCTAGTAATATAGGCCTCACCTGGGAGGTGAGGGTAGTTAGAACTACCCCAGCCTTGCCTACTGAATGTGTATTTGATAAGACCTGTAGCTGATTTGTATGTACATCCAAGTGTGAGAAGCCCTAGTTGAGCATGTCTTTAGACTTTATTAAAAATTACATTGTTGAGATATAAAGGGACAATTTCCATTAACATTTTTTGGAAATGGGTTTTCCTGACATTTATTGTGAAAAATTTCAAACAGATAGCAAAGTCAAAAGTTCTACCATAAAGTACCCATATATCCTCATACCTAGATTATACCATTAATTTTCTTTACGTTTCTTTTTTTCTCAAATTAATTTCCATCAATAATTTTATACAGAAATATTAATTGACAGCATGACTGTTCGAATCATGTCTTGGTAACAAAGGTCTCAATCTTTCTTCTAGAATTTTCAATGGATTTGATAAGGTCCCAATTCGTTTGGGGATGTCTTGTGAATCAGAGAAGCCTGGTGGTGTGGGAGCGGGGCGGGGGAGAACCGGGATTTTGCCGGGTTGGATGCTGGCCCTTGCCCCTTCCAGGGCACGAGGCCTCAGTGTCCTCACCCATATAGTGAGCGGGTTGAGAGACCTCATCCCTACTGGCGCTCCCAACCCTGTGATTATAGGCCCATTGCAAATATTATTATCATCACGATTCCTCAGGTGGAGAAACTGATGAGCCAGCTACATATTTAACTAAGAAGGAAAACATCTGTTGGCATGGGAAAGAGATTATTTCCTAAGCTACTGAGTAAAACACAGCTGCACTGGCAGTTTCAACTCTGTTTTCTTGTCAATTTCTGTTCTTTCAGGAAACCTTACAGAAACATGAAGCCCTCAACCATCTGGAGCTGAGAAACTCATTCGAGGCTGACTGCGGCTTCTAGAACGTCCAGGTGTTCTGCAGATGTGAGAACTTAATCCCGCACTCTCCAGCTGGAGTCCCGAACAGATGCGCCGCTCGTGCTCCAGCCCTAACATCCCTGAGCACAGAAGGGTTGTTCACCAAGTGGCCAAAGAGCAGTTGTTGTCACTGTTGTCTGATGCCGGCACACCGCCGTCCTCTCTCTCGGAGCTGCAGTGGGGCAACCACATTTGAGGTTGCAAGTGTCCTGACTCTCCTGAATTAGGATTCCAGGTGGGGGCCTCATTTCTTAGCCCGACCATCCTTACAGGCACCACCACCAACACGACGACCACCACCACCTGTATCTTCTTGCAAACTCCACCACTGCTCTCCAGGGACCCCCTGCCCTCCAGGGACCCCCTGCCCTGAAAGGGAAACAGGGGGAAGCTCTCGGAAAAATCTTTAGCTGTGGCCCATCGTCACTCCAGACAGTTATTACCCTCCCCTTCTCACCATGGGCTGGCTTTTTCTGAAGGTTCTGTTCCTGGGGGTGACTTTCTTGGGATGCCTTTATCCCCTTGTGGATTTTTACCCCAGTGGGGAAACAAGAGGCCAGAAGCCGAATTTCGTGATCATTTTGGCAGATGACATGGGGTGGGGTGACCTGGGAGCAAACTGGGACACAGAAACGAAGGACACCGCCAACCTTGATAAGATGGCTGCAGAAGGAATGAGGTGAGTCTTGAGGATGCCAAGCCAGCATCTCTGGGGATGTCTGGCTCCCTGCGGGAGGGGGCAGCGGAAAGCACTTAAAGACCAATTGATGGGTCCGTGCTGATTTAGTTAATTGATTAATTCGGTTTGAAACTAGTACAGCATCTTGAAGAAATCCATCCATTCATCCATCTGATAACATTAGGGATGTGTGTGCGTGTGTGTGTGTGTTTGTGTGTGGGTGCGTGTGCCAGGAGCTGGGAATACGGAGGTGAACAAGATCCCTCTGGTACTTAACATCTGTGGGAGGGGATGAGTTAAAAGGAAAGTAGGAACTACAACCGAGCATGTGAGCCCGCATCAGGGATTTTTGGGAGTCTGCAAGGTAGGCCGTGGAACCCAGCCTGGGCCCAGTTCAGGGGAGCAGGTGACCTTTGAAGAGCCACTGAGTCAGCAAGGCCCACAAAGGTAAGAGGACTTGTCTGTGAGCCGATGGGACTTACTGCTCCATGCAAGGGCACACCATCCAGGGAAGGGCCTGTGCATCCGAGCGGGTCTGGAGGTTCATAAGCCCCCTTCCCGCTCGGAGAGAGAACACGTATCAGTGTTTAGCCTGCTGGGTAGGCTTCTCAGGCTGACGCCAGTCCAGCTACTGGTCTAGCTCAGATTCCCACCTGTGCTGTGTCCTGTGCCTCCGTCCAGTGGGGTGGGGATCGGTCCGGCTAGCTGGTTGGGACACCACATGGGGCATCACCGCAGTACTTCAGCCACTTGTAGCCTCCAGCCCGGGGCTTCCCTGGTGATAGAGTCTCAGGGTCCCTGCATCTGGTCTCACCCACTCGAGTCCGTCCTCCTCACCTTGGCCAAACTGAAAGTTCTAGAACACTCCTCTGTTCCAATCTTTCAGTGGCATTTTGTGGCCCTAGGGATGCAAACCAAGTTCTGGACAGCAGCTTCCAAGACCAGCCCCTCCTCCACATTGGTTCTCAACCTGTGTCCCCCCCCACCCCCCACCTTCACTTGTTGCCTCTGTCTGGGCCTCCCCTATGGGACGCTTCCTCTGCTGCATCAGTTTCTTTCTTTCTTTCTTTCTTTCTTTCTTTCTTTCTTTCTTTCTTTCTTTCTTTCTTTCTTTCTTTCTTTCTTTCTTTCTTTCTTTCAGATTTTCTTTATTTATTCATGAGAGACGCAGAGAGAGGCAGAGACATAGACAGAGGGAGAAGCAGACTCCCCATGGGGAGCCTGTGTGGGACTTGATCCCAGGACCCCGGGATCACACCCTGAGCCAAAGGCAGATGCTCTGAGCCACTGAGCCCCCCAGGCGTCCCTGCTTGGTCAGTTCCTACTCACCACCTGGGGCCCTAGTGCCTCTTGAGGTCCCTGGGAAAGCTTCCGGGGATGCTGCCCGGGTTCCCTGCTGGGGTTCTCTGCCAACCCCCTTGCTGCTTTTCATGGTGATTGTGTAACCACCTCACCCCCTGTGTCAGGTTGGATAGGATGCTCCCCCCCCCCAATTCATGCCCACCTGGAACCTCAGAATATGACCTCGTTTGGAAACAGGGACTTGTTTTCTGTTTTTAGTATTTAGCTATGGATTTTTTTTGAAGATTTATGTATTTATTTGAGACAGAGCACAAGTGGGGGGTGGGGGAGAGAGAAACAGACTCCCAATTAAGCAGGGAACCCGATGCAGGGCTCCGTCCCAGGACCTCAGGATCATGACCTGAACCAAAGGCAGACACTTCATCAACTGAGCCACCCAGGCGCCCCTTAGTTATGGATCTTAATGATACCACCCTCCATGGAGAGTGGGTCCTAAATCCAATGACCACTGTGCCCATATAAGAAGAGGGAAGGATGCAGAGAGACACCCAGAGGAGGTGACCTAAGGCAGAGGCAGGGAACGCAGTGATGTGTCTGCAAGCCGAGAATGCCAGGGATCGCTGGGAACCGCAAGACGCCAAGAGAGAGGCGTGGGACAGATTCTCTCTCTGAGCCTCCAGAAGGAACCAAGCCTACTGACATCTTGATTTCAGACCTCCAGCCTCCAGACCCTTGGGAAAATGACATTTCTGTCATTTGAAGCCTCTAGTGCTAATTTGCTCTGGCAGCCACAGGAAAATCATACAACTCCCTTCTAGCCCTGGTCTTCAGGAGGGAAAATGCCTGGTCTCTTCTTCCCCTCTTGTATTCCTAGCACAGAGCATTGTGCCTGGCGCCCAGTAGGCAGTTGATAAGTCACTGTTTATCAGTGAATGGGCTTTAAGTCAAGATACCTTGACATGTCAATCCAATTTTGCATGTTGGATTCCCACCCCCTCCCCCGGGAGAGATTTAATCCATTGCATTAAATCCTCAAAGGGAACAGGATTGCCAAATGCTTAAGAACTTCTGCTTTTAGTGTCAAGTGGGTTCGTGGGGAAGTATCTGGCCCATTATTTAAACCGAGATTTCTGGGGCCTGGACCTTCCCCTTACTGCTGTCCCCACCCTCTCATCCTGTGCAGAAACAGCACCTTGTATGCAGATGCAAGCACCGTTTGGTGGACTCTCCTATTTCTTCCTCCCTTTATGAAAATATTCTCTCCATTTGAGTCTGTGACAGGGGCCAGGCGGCTGGCCCTCTGGCCCCAGTCGGCAGCGGCTCTTCTCTCTGTGCTTTGTTGACAGGAAAGCAGGCTTCCTGTGAGGCCACGGGTTGATTCATCGCTGGCTTCTCCCCCTGCCTACTCACGGCCAGTGGGGAACCATGACTTTCAGACGAGAACTGGTTGCCAAACAGGGTCTCTGGGTGACTTGAGAAAGTGTCTTTGTTTTTTTATTGTCTCTTTTTTATTAGGGTATTGTTTCCTAAGACTCTCACAACAAATGACTATAAACTGTGCGGCTTAAAGCAACTCACATTAATCCTCTCACAGGTCAGGAGGCTAGAAGTCCTGAATCAAGATGTCAGCAGGGTTGGAAACTTCTGGAAGCTCCGAGGCAGAATCGGTACCCTGCCCCTCTTGCTTCTGGTGGCTGCAGGCGGTCCTTGGCCTCCTGGGCCTGTGGATGCATCACTCCGTTGTCTGCCTCCACTCTTCCATGGGGCTCACCCTGTGTGCGTGTCTAAATCCCCTTCTTCTCATATGGCTGCCGTCACTGGCTTTCGGGCCCATCCTAATCCACTATGACCTCATCGCAACTTGATTACATCTGCAAAGTCCTATTTCCAAGTGAGGTCATATTCCCAGGTTCTGGGTTGACGTGAAATTTGGGGGAGATGCTAGTCAACCCAGAACAATTAGCTATCCCGCATATGTCTTTAGCCCTGCTCCTGACATCATCTGCAATGTGGTAGGTGCTTGATGAACGATTGTTGCTTTGAAGACTAAATATCCTGCTTTAAGAAGTTGGTCTCAGGTTCAAATCCCAGCTCTACTACTTTCCATCTATGTGACTCTGGACAAGCTACATCATTCCTTGGGGACAGTGGTAGCACCCCTCTCATAGGATGTTGTGGGGATTAGATTAAGTCATCCGTGCAGGCAATTAACACAGAGCCTGGCTCACGATAGACACAGATATATGTGAGCTATGGTTATTTTTGGTATTGGTCTTAGAAATAATATCCATTTGAATTGTTGATGTGAATTGGCTACTCTGCATAATGAAAGATTTAAATGGTAAATCGTGGAAGGAGGAGTGAGTTCCAGAGACAAATCCCTGTTAATCTGGATGTGGACCATCCACACTGAGCCAACATGTGTATTTGAATCAAATGTGACAGTTGTGATAATAGCTAACCCCTCCTGTGCCTATGTGAGGTTCCAGGCTCTGGGCATCACTCTGGTTAATTCTGGCCACCACCCGATGTTTCTCTTCTTTCAGAAGAGATGAGGTGAGGAAGTCAAGATCAAGCCATTTGTCCTCTTGGGATCTGCTTCAGTCTGTTCAGCGCTAGACCAAGTCCCCAAGGCAACACTTAAGTGTCTCCATAACATTTCTTGCCAGTACACACCATTAGTGTGGATTTTTCTTCTTACCCATTTGGGTATGGTAGATGCGATTTACCAAATTTATGAATGGAATGGGCCCCATTCACAACATGACCCGGATGTCATTGTTGCAGAACAAAAGGATTCCCTGGGGAAAGAAAGGCAGAGCTGTTAGTGCCTCAATTTTGGTTCCTTTACCCACCTCTTAACTTCCATTTATGTAGTGGTGAAGGAGGGATCGTGGCCTGAAACCCCATAGTCTTGAGGGTTATGACAGAGCTATGTCATTTATGGTAGCTCAGGCCTAAGAGCATCCTCATCATGTTATCACACAGGGGTAAACTGAGGCCAGAGAGAAGTGAAGTATTTTTACTACTCTGGTTGCTTTCCAGCAAGTGGGGGCAGGTTATCTAGTTTGCACTTGTCAGTAGGTTCACCCGACAACCTGACTTTCGCCCTTGACCTGGTGGGCTGGGCGTTTTGTCACTGTCCTGTGCAAATCTGAGCTGAGAGGTACTGTTGAACATTTGAAAGTTTAAGAATAATAAGATAATCCAAAGAAAATAAAAATGTCAGAATTCAGGTGAAAAGGCTAGGGATTTAGTAATCAGCTAAAACTTAAACCACTTGGAGGGTCTCCCAGGCTGGCTCAGAAGGGAGTTGACAAGACACTGTAGGCACATTCACCTGTGCAAAGTGACTTGCAAGTACGTTACCTTTGCACCTTGACTTCTTTCCATCCTGTTCCACGCCTTCTCAGTCCCCAGTCTAATCTGAGTCAAGTCAATGCTGCTGCTGAGTAGAGGCAGTGACTTAGCTAGGAATCAAAGATCGATATTCACCCCTGGAAGGTCAGAGGCTCCCAGGGGCTTGAGTCTGTTTCTAGAAAGGGCCTCAGTGAAGAATGAATTGATCTGTCAAATCAGTCAAACACCTTCTGTGATTTCTGTTCTCGGCAGTGGCTTTTGGCAAACGTTCATTCATCCTGTTACCTCTCAGAGTTTTCTCAGCTGTCCCACTGCCTCCGGGGTTTTGCAATGATCCC